CCTCCCCCCACCTTTCGGAACATCCTGAAATCCTGGCTATACCCCTGGAGTCCTGGAGTTACATCATGCTTTCCTACCTGGTGAAATGGAAGTTGAATCTTTTTGACGTTATCATCATAATAATCAGTAGAAGACCACTTTAATATATCGGGCTCATAGTCGATAGATATGTAGGTATGGTCGTGAACCAACTCCTGAGAAAGTAAACGTGGGGAAACACTGAGAAAATGAAGAGAAAAGAAAGAAAAAGCAAAGTGGAGAAAAGGGGAAAGGATAGAAGTGAAAAAGAGATGGAAGAAAAAAGGAAAAAAGTGAAGCTTCAAAGAAGAAAAAAAAAATAAATAATCAAAAGAACATTATCAGATAGATAACATGATGGATGGAAGGATGGATAGATGGACGGACGGACGGACGGACGGACGGATGGATGGACGGACGGATGGATGGATGGACGGACGGACGGAAGGACGGACGGAGGTATGGATTGGTATATAAATTGATGAAGCAACAACGCGGCAATGGATGTAATGGACATAATGTTTTTCCATTTCAGACCATGTGTCATCTCTTAGTATCATTTTTTTGTTTAAAAGTTGGGSATGAGAAGACATATAAAAATGGATAAAACTGTAAGTTTTGAATTATTGGTCGAAGGAATAAGACACATGGGAAAAACATTATACCCAAGTGAAAGAGGTCTAATGATGGGTTATGGAAGAGTAGCAACCATCCCAATGTTYACGACAGTATGCAGACTATAAGAGCACTTGCCTGCGCTCTTGCTAATGTGATCTGAGCAACATGAGCAGGATGTTTCAACTGTAGCAATCGCTGCATGTACCATGCTACACTGGCACCTCCCAGATTTATCCTGCAACAATAAAAAAAATGCTGGAGAAAAACTTTTGAAATACTAGGAGAAAGTTTCTTGCTGTTGGTGACAACCAACCTTATCATTCAGACTGGTTTCAAACCATTTATTTTATTTTGAGTTTTGGGTTGGTTGTGAAAAAAATAATGTATGTAGCTCCAAGAGTGCTTATTACAAACCTTTTACAGTTTTGTGCATCAAGTCTGCCATTAATAACAGGAAGTACATGGCTGACTTGATATCCTGATGACACTACAAGAGTATTGGTTGACACTGAAAAGAAAAAACGATCAAAAACTAAATCATATTGTGGTCAGGGTTACATTCTCGTAGCACTGTCAAACTCTCTTCTCATCTCAGGAGGTCTCTGATTTCATTCCAGACCTGGACTTTTTGAGCTAAATAAATAATCAGGGGGGGGGGGGGGGGGGGGGGG